GCTTCCCTTGGGTGATGGGAATGTTTCCATGGACACCAAAGATCTTTTCCTCTGCCTTCTCTCTTGTGTCGGAAAAGTGCTGGCATCTCTCGGCCCTAAAGCCAATGAGTGTGGCTCTAACAATGGCCAATGACCAGGAGAGTTGCTTCATGATCTGGGACCACAAGGCTTTGTGACAGCGAGTTGTGCCCACCAGACCACTAAAAACCCAAAGCCTCTGGACATCTAAGGAAGATGTCGACAGGATACCAGGAGCCTCCAGATCCTCTCATTACGTACCCACGGGCCTTGGGACCCTCAGCACAGGAAAAGGAACTCAGAACAAGGAATTTAGGCTAATCCATGTCCTCTTTGGAAATATGGACCATGGTGTTGATGACAACAGGTGGATGAAGAGGAAGAGGTGGAAAGGAATGAACAGGTTAGACTGGAGAAGAGGTGAGGTAAATAAGGAGCAAGAAGACATGACTGAGAAGGGTAAGGGAGAGGGGAGCCAAGGCAGGTCAGAGAGAGGACATTGTCTCCTGGGCACAGAGCAGCTTGGGTACAGTCCCTCAGAGTGGGACTGAAAGAGAGAGAGAGAGAGAGAGGAGGGTGGCCTCTCTCTGGAAGATGCAACGGAGAAGAGAGGAGTGAAGGGGGTACCTACCCAGACAAAGAGCCACAGCAGCCCCTCAGGGCTTTAGGCAAACATAAGAGCAATTCAGTGAACAGAAATCCTGAGGAACAAGTTTGCCTTTTTTTTTTTTTTTTTTGGTACAAGGCAAATTTCAGCCCTCTAACCCAATAGCTCCTGCCCTTCAAAGATGGGCATGACATGATAGGGGTTAAGATTTAGGCGGCATCTACAGAAATTGCTGGGAGGATCAGGCAGTCACCTAACCTAAGAGGCTGGCCCAGGCAGGAGAGAGATGGGGGAGGACCCCTTTGGACAGTCTTTACTCCGGTCCTGCAAAGTCCCTGCTCATTTTCTGCTGAGTGGACAGCATGTGACCTGGCTGACAAAGCACAACCTGTTGAGGAAAAAGCTCCATACCCTGTAAGTCCAGCCCAGCCCAGCCCAGCCCAGGGCGTGGGGCAAGGCCGGGTGGAACCAAGTTGAAAGGTCATGAAAGGGACAGGGAACTTGAACCACCTGAGGAAGGGAAGAGGAGGTCACAGAGGTCCCCAGACCCCATCTCTAAGACAGCTCTAGACTGGACTAGTCTCTGAGGAAAACTTAAAACCAGCCTAGTGAGGGCTGGTTTCTGATATATCTCTTTGGACTAATTTAAGGACTACAGGCTCACAGCATGGAACCCATTTGGTTATTGTTTGAGTCAGGCCAGGTCTGAGCCTTATGTCTCAGCCAACCTTTGTAGACTACGTAGAAGCAAATCAGAGGGTACGGTGACCCAGAACCCCAACCCATTGTTAGGTACACACACTTGGGACACTTACTGAGAGTCTAGAACCTGCTCCAGGAATCCTTGCTCTCTAACATAAAAGATGCAAGGGTTTGGGAGCAGAGGCGGTGGCTTCCGGCAGCCTCACCTTAGGTAGCCAGGAAAGCCCCCAGCCCCTCCCTGCCTAGGACGAGGCTGACTTGTGGGGCACACTGCTGCTGAAACCCACCCCACCCCCTCCCCCGACAGCCCCTTGTGGCCTTGGGAGGGAGTGCTAACCTCTAAGGTCCCAGCAGGGAATCTGGCCCCTGAGCTGGTTCTCAGCATGGCTCTTGACCAGCTCTGTAACCCAGGGACAGAGATACAAGGTAACCTCTCTCTGGTTAATAGGCTTCCTATAAAACTGGAAGAAATAGCCCATTTCACAGCCTGAGGGGGCGGCATCAGCTAAAAGTGCTTGTGAAAGCATTCTCCGATGCTCAGAGACACTGAGAAGTAAGGGCCAAGGTCTCTGTGGTCTGCTTCCTTGTGTGGGCAGTTGGCCTCAGCTCTCTCCCTTCCTCTGGAAATTCTCAGAAAGCATCAGGTGGCCAGACCCTAGAATAAGACCCTGAACCCTCATGGTGTCACCATCCTGCACACCAGACAAGGGAGAGAATGCTTTCGTTTAGCAAAGGCCACACGGCCTCCTAGTCACCACACCTCAGACAACTTACGGAGTTGGTTTCTGGGTACCATCACATATCTTGGGAAGTAGAGGTAATATGGAAAAGACTAGAAGGAAAAGGGAAAGATGGAGGGAGAGCAGGACTTGGTGTGGAATCAATGCCCACTCTTCTCAAGGCCCAGCCCTGACCCATCTTGGAGTCACAGGGCAAGACTACACAGAGCTGAGGCCAGAGGACAAACCCAGGGCTCCCAAGTGGAGGTGACACTGGGCTCAAGGCTTCCAAAATACCAGGAAGATCATCAGAGGTCTTAAACCCTCCACTGAAATACCTCCAACCCCTAGAAACAATACAGATGACAGGCCAAGGACTAAGGGCCTCAAGTCAGAAACAGTGCCTGTGTGGGGCATCTGGGTGGCTCGGTTAAGCTTCCAACCTCGACTCAGGTCATGATCTCGTGGTTCATGAGTTGAAGCCCCATGCCAGGAGCGCTGTGCTGACAGCTCAGAGCCTGGAGCCTGCTTTAGAGTCTGTGTCTCCCTCTCTCTCTGACCCTCCCCACTCGTGCTCTGTCTCTCTCTCTCAAAAATAAACAAGAAAAAAAATTAAAGAAACAGTGCCTCTGTGTGTGTGTGTGTGTGTGTGTGTGTGTGTGTGTGCACATATCTGGTGTGATGACCGTCACTACCAGACACGTCAGAAAAGGACAGTATGAGGGGCACCTGGGTGGCTCAGTCGGTTGAGCTTCCGACTTCGGCTCGGGTCACAATCTCACGGTCTGCGAGTTCGAGCCCCACGTCCAGCTCTGTGCTGACAGCTCGGAGCCTGGAGCCTGCTTCGGACTCTGTGTCTCCCTCTCTCTCTGACCCTCCCCAGCTCATGCTCTGTCTCTGTCTCAAAAATAAATAAACATTAAAAAAAAAAAGAAAGAAAGAACAGTATGAGAGCCCTGGACAAGAGCCCGAAAACCACCACAGGAAAACAGCATCCAAATGAAAAGTTTTCTGGGATGGGGCTGAACAGGACAGTGCAGTTCCTTAGGAGTGAGACCAGACTGGCACAGGCCCACCCGCTTACTGTGCCCACGTGTATCCTCCGGCTCCCTGGGTCACCGCACGGTAGGCAGATCATAAAGCTGTACCTCGGGGTGGGCTAGAGGTGCAGGAGGCAGCTTTCTGCACGCACAGGGCGAGCAACCTCACACACGGCTGGGTGTGGTCTGCACAAACTGGTTCTCGGAGGCCAAATCCTTACCTCCTTTGTTCACAAGACGTAAGAAAAAGACTGCTTTCTTTTTGCTGATCTCAATAGCGAAGGGGATGAAAGCATTGCTTCGCCAAATCAAAGTCGCAGTCTCTCTCGTTGTCGGTGTTAATGGAGGGAAGCAGGCAGCCGGATTACCGAAAACAAGCAGATCCGTCCCACGTACCTTTGAAAAGAATTACGTGATTTGTTTCACAGAACAAGCAACACGTTTCGCTCCCTAGTGGAGGCCATGACTAAAAGCTGGTTTACGTTTCCCGAGCCCAGAGTGACTGAGGGATGGTGAGCTGCCAGCGTGCAGGGTGGGCGCTCTGCCCAGCAGGACATCAGCAGGGAGCGTGCAGGGAAATGCAGATCAAGGGGACCCCTGTGAGGTCAGGCCTCTGGGCCAGCGGGCGCGACAAAGAGATGGTCACAGTTCTTCAGCGAGTCTGGAGTCCCCTCTTTCCTGGTCTTACTGAAAGCTGGGGAATCATTTTAAATTTCGAATCGCAGAGCACATCTAGCAAGGAGCTCTCAAATCTCCTTTTGTTAAAAGTGGGAGAGCCCATCATCCAAATGATCCAATTTTAAACATCCATGTTTAAAGAAAGATAAACAAGAAACCAATAAAAATGGTTACCTATGCAGGGTGGAGGTGGGGAGCAAGTCTTTTTTTTTGGATTTTTGAAAGAAATACATTTATCATCTCTTCAAAAAAGTAAAGGAATGTTTACAGTTGGAAGGCTACAGTGTAAAGTGGCTGATGGCTGAGCGACTCTGGCAGAAGGCGGTGGGAGGGGTGGTGGGCAGAGCCCAATCTTTTATTTGACAGCGGGGGAAATTAAAGCCCAGGGAGCCGGGCTAGCTCTCTGGGTCTTTCTTTCCAGAAGACATATTCAGAAAGGGCTAAATATACTCCCCCGAAGAAACCAAACACCCAATCCTTTTGAAAGATTTATTTTTCATTAAAAAATAAAAGTTTTCTTAACATATCTGCGTTGCAGCTTCAGGGATGGCAACTCAAAAAAGCAAGAAAAACAAGGCGTATCCGTTCTCAGGTCACCTGACCATCTTGTAATGGGTACAAAGGCACACGAGTCTTCAAACAAACTTTATTCAGAAACAAGTCTAATAATTCAGAACTCCCTTCCCCCAACTTTTCTTTGTCCGCCCTCACCGGCCCCACCCCCCCCCCCCAAAAAAAAACAACCAAAACCATTAAATTCTCTTTCAAAACTACAGAAGTTAAGTGCTGAGTCAGCAAGGAAGCCAGGCGTGCTGCCCAAGCTTCTCCATCTCTCTCTGCTTGGACGCCGGGCTGCCCAGAGGCTGGCAGGGAGAGAGCCAGAGCAGTCCTCCACCACGCCAGGTGGGGCTCGCAACATGGGCAGGCCTCTTGCACCCAGCCCCGAAGCCACCACCCCAGTGGGGGCAGGCAGTTCCAAGGCACTGTTTCCCTTCGTCAAGGGCATCCCATGGCTAAAGCAGCCTTTCAGGAACAGAAAGGCCTAAGGCAAGCCAAGTCTTCATCAAATGCTTGTGATGAAAACCACTGAGACCCGTGGGAGAGAGGGGGGCGCGGATCTCTTGTTCCCCCTCTCCCCCCACCGAGTTTACCAGGCTTTGGGAAGCGGCTCCCTATTCTCCCTGCCTTCTCTTTCCATTCCTCCCCATCTCCCCCTTCCCCCCAAAGAGTTTTATTTTAGCTTGATGGTGGGGGTTCCGAAGAGGCTACTGGCAACTCTCGGGGCTGGCCTGGGGGCTCTGGCATCTCTAAGGGGACATCGCATGCTTTTGCTTCCTGTGTGTCACAGAGCTCCTCCTGTCTCTGGGAGGGTGCAAGGCGCTCCTGGCTCTGGGCCTGGCTGTTCATCTTCTCTTCAGCTTCAATCTCTTCTGAGGTGGGGATGGAGTTCTTCTTGGGACGACCTTTGGGTTTTGTGGGTGCTTCCTGTCCACCTTTAAGAACCTATATGGGAAAAAAGGATGGTCATTAAATCTAATAAAGAACTTCCTCCCTCCTCTTTCCCAGTCAAGAGCATCTATACCATCCATTCCCAGCAGTGATGGCCTGGCAAAAAGGATTTTCAACTCATCACTTCTAGGGTATAAAGACATTTTCATTCGTTAAATGTTCATTACTCATTTTCCGTCAATATTACATATTTTGGCATTAAATAAAACGATCACAAACACATTTAAAAAATCCAACTTCAACGGTAAGGAAAGAAATAAAAAATTAAAATATTACTGTGATTTCTATCAAGTTGACAAGTTAAAAGAAAAAGACAGTATTTATAGCAAGCAGGAAGAGAAATACTCATACTCCAGTATGGAAGTGTAAAGGGTACAACCATCTCAAAAGGCAATCTGAGAATTCAAATCAAAAGTCTTAAAATGTGTACACTCTGACATAGAAATTCCACTTCTAGTAATTAAGCCTAAGGAAGTCATCAAAGACTGATGTAAAGATTGATCTGCAAAAAATGTTCATCAAAGAATTGGTTTTAACAGCAAAAACTGGGGGAAATATACTCTAAATTTCTGCTATATGATTGGGTAGATAATTATAGTATATCCCAAACACAGAATACTTGATAACCATTACAGTTATTATGTAGGAGAATGTTTAGTGATACGGGAAATATTATTAATATACTTTTGTGGAAAACAGGTTATACCAGCATAATCCAAACTAGAGGACAGACAACTATATACCACCTTGTTTGCAGTATCAAGATCATCAATCATTTTTAAATTTTTTTTGTATTTTCTAATTTTTTTCAAACAATGATCATATATTTCTGTAATCAGAAAAAAATGTAAGAAATATAGAATTGTATCTATAAAGAACTTATCAAACTCAACACCCAAAAGACATAATCCAGTGAAGAAATGGGCAAAAGACATGAAGAGACACTTTTCCAAAGAAGATATCCAGATGGCTAACAGACACATGAAAATGTGCTCAGCATCACTCATCAGGCAAATCCATATCAAAACCACAATGAGATACTACCTCACATCTGTCAGAATGGATAAAATGAGTAAATCAGGCAACAACAGGTGTTGGCGAGGATGTGAACAAAGAGGAACCCTTTTGCACTGCTGGTGGGAATGCAAACTGGTGTGGCCACTCTGGAAAACAGGATGGAGGTTCCCCGAAAACTTAAAAATAGAGCTACCCTACGGCCCAGCAATTGCACTAGATATTTATCCAAAGGATACAGGTGCGCTGTTTCAAAGGGGCACATGCACCCCAATGTTTATAGCAGCACTATCGACAATAGCCAAAGTGTGGAAAGACAACAAATGTCCATTGACTAATGAACAGATAAAGAAGATGTGGTATATATATACAATGGAATATCACTCAGTGATCAAAAAGAATGAGATCTTGCCATTTGCAACAAATGGATGGAACTAGAATGTATTATGCTAAGCAAAGTCAGTCAGAGAAAGACAAATATCATATGATTTCATTCATATGTGGAATTTAAGATACAAAACAGATGAACATAAGGGAAGGGAAGCAAAAATAATATGAAGACAGAGAGGGAGACAAACCATAAGAGACTCTTTAAAAAAAATTTAATATTTATTCATTTTTGAGAGAGAAAGACAGAGTGTGAGTGGGGGAGGGGCAGAGAGGGAGGGGCAGAGAGGGAGACGCAGAATCCATAGCAGGCTCCAGGCTCTGAGATGTCAGCACAGAGCCCAATGCAGGGCTCAAACCCATGAGCAGCAAGATCATGACCTGAGCCAAAGTTGGACGCTTAACCGACTGAGCCACACAGGTGCCCCATGAGACTCTTAAATACAGAGAACAAATTGAGGGTTACTGGAAGGGTGTTGGGTGGGGGGATGGGCTAAATGGGCAATGGGCTTTAAGGAGGGCACTTGTTGGGATGAGCACTGGGTGTTATATGTAAATGATGAATCACTAAATTCTATTCCTGAATTATTATTACCCTATTATATATGTTCACTAACTTGGATGTACATTTCAAAAACGTGTTTAAAAACAAACAAAAAAAAGAAATATAGAATTATAGTGTTCAAGGATGTAGTAGAGAATAGAAAGTTCTAGCTCGCTTTGAAAGCAGAATAACTAGATTAAATGCTAACTCTGTTACTTTTCTGTTTTGTCTTTGGGAGAGTTCAGAGTTCTTTAAAGACTCTGAGCCTCAGTTTCCTTATCTGCAAAACAGAGATAATAATACCTTATCTCACAGGGTGACCAACAGATAGTGTACTGGAAAGAACAAGAACTTTTTCTGAATGACAGATTTCCTCGGTCCAGAATAGGCCTCCCACCCTCCTCATCTGGTTAACTCAGGTTAGACAGTGCTTCTCCTGGGAGCCTTCTGTGATCTCCCAAGTGGAAGTCCAACACCCTCCACCATGTGCCCTATGAGCTCTTACACTCCCTCCATGCGAGCACTTTTCATAAACCACTGTCACTGCATGTTTACTTGCCTGTCCCACCCACTCAGCCCTTGCACATAGCAGGCATTCAATAACTGGTATTGAACAACAAGCCTTTTCCTAGAGGTGAAGAAAGATATAAAGCAAGCAAAATAACAGTATCCCAAATGGCCTTTGCTGATCTCACACATTATTATCCCAGTGTGTGATGTTCGCAAGGGTACCATGACTTACGAAGGGGTAACTCTAAAAATATTTATGTGTTACTTTAGAACATAACAGACAGTCCTTCCACTGGCTCTGTACTCTGGTGTGGTTTAGTTGTTGATTTTCTCAGCAGCTAGTGAGAAGGGCTTCAGGAGTACCTGGATTAGCACAGATAATTAGGAGGGAACTATATTTTTGCTGCTTACATAACTAGCTTAATCTTACCTTCCGTAGTTGAACAGAGGCTCCTTGAAGGTGAATCCTACATCTATCCCTTGCGTCAGGCTCTAGGCAAGCAACTTCTAACTACATCTCTGCAGTCACTAAATACTTACTCTTTCCTTTGAGAGGAGCACAGGATCTCCAGTGCCAAATTGTAAGAATGAATGAATTCAATAAACCATAGGTTCTTTTTTTAAAACAGCTTTACTGAGATATAATTCACATACCATACACTTCATCCATTCATATTGACAATTCTGTGATTTTTAGTACAGTCAGAATTGTACAACTATCACCAGAATCCAATTTTAGAACATTTTCATTGCCCCCCAAAAGAAACCCCACACTCGTTAGTCATTCTGTATTTCTCCCCAGCCCCTGCTCCCCAACCCTAGGCAACCACTGATCTTGATTCTGTTTCCACAAATTTGCCTACTCTGGACATTTCGTATGAATTAGGTTATACAATATGTCATCCTTTGTGACTGGCTTCTTTTCAGTCAGCATAATGTTTTCAAGGGTCATCCATGTTGTAGCATATATCGATATTTCAATTCCGTTTTATGGCCAACTAATATAGACTGTATGGATATGCCACATTCCATCTGCCCATGCGTCAACTGATCGGCACCTGGGTTGCTTCTACCTTTTGGCTGCTGTGAACAGTGCTGCCATGAAGATGGGTATAGAAGTATCTGTTCAGTTCTTTTGGGTACATACCTACAAATGGAATTGCTGGTCATAGGGTCACTACATTTTTTTGACGAGCTTCCAGACCTGTTTTCTAAAGCAGTGGCACCATGCCAATCAGCAGTATATGAAGGTTCCAGTTCTCCATATGCTCACCAATACTTGATATTCTATCTTTGTGGTTATAGCCATGCCGGTGGGTAGGAAGTGGTCTCCCGTGTAAGTTGCACTTCCCTGATGACTAATGACGTTTGGCATCTTTCCCTGTGCTTATGGGCCAGCTCTGTGTCTTCTTTAGAAGAAGAATCCTTTGCCCATTTGAAAATCTGGTTGTCTTTTTATTACTGAGTTGTAATAGCTTTTTATACATTCTGGATACAGGTCCATTATCAGACACAAGATTTGCAAATGCATTCTCCCATTCTGTGTATTGTCTTTTTGCTTTCTTGAGGATGTCCTTTACAGCACAAAGGTTTTTAATGTTGATGAAGCCCAGTTTCTCTTTTGTTGCTTGTGCTTTTAGTGTGCTAAGCGGGTTTTGCCAAATCCAAGGCTGTGCATACTTACTCTTAAATTTTCTTCCAAGAGTTTTACAGTCTTAGCTTTTACATTTAGGTCTGGGGTTCACTTTATTTTTTGTATATGGCACGAGGAAACCCATTAGCTCTCAGTAAACACCTCCTTCTAGCCAGGAATCTGCTTGGCCACTGTACTTTCCATGCAAACAGCAAACACAGAGATATAAAGGGGACCTCTAACAAGGGATACATGCTGACAGAATCCAACTCTGGGGAGAAGGCGTCCCTATATATTCCTTTTCACATAAGTCAGCATCTGATTTTTAATTCAGTCTGAGTGTAGGCTGTTGAAAGCACCCAGATGTGCCAAGATGGAATTGACATGTTGAAAGCAGCTCCACTTGGTATAAAAGAGGTTATACAAAATTAAGTTGCCCCATATAGTAATCAAGTTATAAAAGGGCAGGTCTAAGGAAGCCACCTAATTGGCAAAAGAAAGTCCAGCCCAGCAATTAGAGAACACCACCCACACAGCTTGGATAGACCCCACCTGGCTGTCTTCCTACCGCATGAAAAAAAATAATAATAAAAACAATCAGACCATTTTCTAAATGGAATAAAACATTCCAGCACAAGCAGTAATTAGGAGATAACTACCCTCTTGGCTGCTTCCCGCACTCAACCTCTGGCCCCCTGCCTCCCAGCACACCTGAGATGTGCCATTATCTCACAACCGCCCCACTCCAGGAGCTGCACATTCTCATGCACCCTGTGGCCCTCATCCCCAGATCCCTCCTTCCCAATGACTCCTAAAGCCAGTTTAGTTCCCTCGGTTGGGAGAGTCAGACAACCCACTGCTCTCGAGGTCACATGCCTCTCGGAAAAACAGCTTGCACACCATCTACGTCTATTAGCTGTGCCTGCTGCCAGTCTGCCTCAGAACTCTAAAACTAGAGTTTTACAACTGTTTTTCAAATGTTCTGTTGCTGAAGATGTCAGGACAGGCCTCTCTTCCCTTCCCGAGGCGCTTGGGTCAGGGACAGGCAGTTTGACAGCACAGCTGTAATGCCAATGCAGGGAGGAACCCTCTACCTCCTCCATTACTCAGACAGGAAACCGAGCAGGCAGAAGTGGTTTGTCGTGGTCAAAGAGCAAGCCGAGGGCAGGGCTGGGATTTGAACACAAAACCCTGCCCATTTGAATCTAACGCTCATTGTGCATAATGTACGAAGGATACCTAAAATGTGCCGCTGTTATTTCTTTTCTTCCCTTTTTTTTTTTTTTAAGGTTTATTTATTTTTGAGAGAGAGCAAGAGCACAAGCAGGGGAGGGGCAGAGAGAGAGAAGACTGGACTGAAGGGGGCTTTGCGCTGACAGCAGCGAACCCAATGCGGGGCTTGACCTCACGAATTGCGGGATCACAACCTGAGCCAAAGTTGGACGCCCAACCAACTGAGCCAACCACTGAGCAGCCCTGTGCTCCTGTTATTTCTAATATTCATCTGCAGTTATGCAGTCTCCCAGCAGACCCTCGGCCACGGACTCCTTAACCGGGGTGCTTTTTGCTCCTTTTTCTCTGTCTTCATTTGCAGCTCTCTGGAGCAGTGAGAGTCTGCTAAACTGATGAGTGTTCCCAAGCAGTGAGAGGCAAGTTCAGATTCTCCAGCATGAATCTCTTCCCAGCACTCTGTTCAGCAGCCTTTCTATCCTAAAGGCCCAGTGGTGCCTCAAGCAGGGCCCCAAACACGAAGACACTGACTGGGAGACGACCCAGCAAGTGCTCAGTGAGAAAGAACAAACAGCCAGGATCGCTGTCATCCAAAAGAAACATTCAGCTGGAAATTTCAGCTTGTGTCTCCTGGCCTCCGAAAGCATGGATAGGTAAATGAGGAGGAGGAGGAGGAGGGTGGCAGCTAAATTTCTCAGCTGCATACTATGCAGCAGGCATGGTGGTAAGAGCTTTACAGGGATTAGCTCAGTCAACACCACAACCCTATAAGGTACATGTATATTAGGCATTGTACTAACGAGGAAACAGGCGCACAGAGGTTAAGTAACCTGCTCAAGATTACATAGACAGTAACTGGTAGCATTGTGTGGAATTGTTGCCTATTCTGGAGACTTGCTGATGATGGTACATGGTCTGTGGCCCACCCAATTCTGTGACCGGGGCAGGAAGGTGGTGAATACATTTGGATCCTCTCACAGAACAGAACTGCGTGTTAGAGCTGAAAGAGATCACTGAATAATGAGGCACTTTCAGCCTGTTGCAAAACATTCTGGGTCCTCCTGGAACTAAAGCCAAAGAGAAATGGAGTGGAGGGTGAGCGTCCCATCTAATGTGCAAGATTAAATTTACCCAACCTGCTATAGCTTACAAATGCTGACCGGTAAAAACTAGTCAGAGATGCTATCTGGCCTCTGGCAGCACTATCGTTGGCCGCCGTGTGAATAACTCAGAATCAAGTGCTAATCTTTTTCCAGTTCCAATTAGGTTACTAGCCTTGAGACATCTTTATTACCCAATTAGCTTTTTCTTTTTCTCCCAGTACTTGAAGAGATAGCCTTGAAAGAGTTTTACCAGGAAAACATGAGGCAATCAGGCTCAGGCCCCCAACAATGGCTCGCTGTTCTGGGGGAGTCGGAACTCAGACCCACAAACTGAGCAACGACCCTCTCTCTCCTTTTAGCTCTGGCCATTCTGAAGTAGTTCAAGTGCTCCAAGGATTTCTGCCCATGACGCTTTTCCCACCTTTGCTTGTCCCACTTCTATTCACCCACTAAAACCAACGTGAAGCCCTCCCTTCTCTATCCTGATTCTGAACCCAGTAAATCCCCCTGTTGCCCTGATCACTCTGAATGATTACTAGTTTTACAGATCGGTCTCCTCCTCCTTGACTATCTAGCTCTAATTTTATTTTGGAACGGATGGGTTCATGACCTACCTTTGCATCTCCATTGCCCGGTGCTCCAATATATGCTCAATAAATAACTGGTGAATGGAGAGCTTGGCGCTCTTGCTTCCTAAAGGGACCTGAATGTGGTGGGCCTGTGGCACGCTGAGGTTCAATCTGCTCACTTACTTCCATCTTGCCTTATACAACATGGATAACCAGCTCACATTGTGCCTGTAGCACAGTGGCGGGTGACCAGCAAGTGACGTCGGAGGCAAAGGCACACGCTCGTCCCACGGGCATCGGGCGGTGCTGGCAGGGATGGCGAGCTGTCAATTCATTAATCGTCTGACTCACGAAGAGATTGCTGATAACCGATTTCAACAATGCCTCTGCCGCTCAGGAGACATTGATGTCGACGATGATGATTGACGGAGGAAGGAGGTGGGTGGCAGACTTGCCCAAAATCAGTCAGGGAGGGACAGGCATGGGAACTTGGCCCAGGGTTTCTAACTCCCAGATCTGGTTCTTTCTGAGATCAGTCCCCCAGGAGGTTTCCGCCATCGTTTTCACGTGTGTGTTAGCATTCTCGAGGTGTTGCGATGAACACTATTTAACTGAATCCCATTTATCCGGCACCTTCTCCCGGCACCCTTCTCACATACCTGTCCTCTGAACTCTTGTGGGCTTATACAACGCCCAGTAATTATAACTCATCATCATGTGCTCCCTGGCTGCTTCCTGGACCTCGATTCCCCAGCTAGATCACAAATGCCATGAAGGCAGGCTTACATCTTATTTCGTTACTTCCCATAATGCCTAGGACAAGGCATGGCTCACAAGAGAGGCTAACACACGTGCTGATTCACCCAGCGTATGTGTGTTTTGTACACGCAAGTGACATCTAGGCCTCGTCTCGCAAGCACTCCGCGAGCCACACGGCCTCCACCTTCATGAACATCCCTTCCGCTCAGGCTCAGGCCTTCCCAGAGGAAATGATGAGATTTGCCTAGGAATTTCCTTCCGGGAAGATAAATGCTGCCTTGTTGGCTTTTTTTTTTTTTAATGTTTCCCATTAATATTAATTTACAACGTATTTATTTTTCTCATTGTTAGCAGTCAACAGCAAGAACTAAAGTTTTCAGAAAAAATTACTGGACAAAAACACAAAAAATGAGACAATGTCTCACTATCTATTAGCTATTAAAAATATCTATCAGCTTACCTGTTTTCCTGAAAACTAGGGGATGGAGAATTACCTTAGCTATTCTCCAATAGCTAAGGTAATATTCTCCAGTGATTGTATAAAAAAAAAAAAAAATCAGATTCTAGCCTTTGAAATGCCAGAGAAGATGGCGCATGACCAGATGGGTTAGCAAATTAGAATGTAAACCAAGCAGGCCTGGACCCCCTGGTCCATGCGAGACGAGAAAGGACCAGTAGGATTCAGTGAGGATTGACAAAGGACCAGGTGCCAGGTTTCTGAGGATTACAATTCTGAGGTTTCTGAGTATTCCTGGTCCCTAAAGAAAATAGGCTGCTTCCCAGCCTCTTTTCCCAGCTCACCTCTGTTCTCTGGGCTTTGACCTTTTCCCCTTGCAGTTTACAAAACTGGAAATGAAACACTCAACTACTTGGGAAGTTTGGATTTAACACATCTTTCAAACTGTTTTTTTTTTTTTTTTTTTTTAAAGGAAGTTGAGTTCCTCAAAATATAAGAGATGTAGATTTTTTTTGGGGGGGGGGGGGTTTGTTTAGAGAGATGTTTCTGTTCATCAGTCCATTGAAAAACCAAAGATGGAATGAGGCATTAGCTAGGTGGTAGAGCAGTATTAGGGACCCCGTAGTCCTTATATCAAGTGCATCAGAGGAAGCTGGGAGCTTGTTAGCACATGCATTCCCAGCCTTGTCACAGATCTCTGCAGTCAGGGTGCTGGGAGGCTCCTGGAGTTCTACGTTTTTGCCTGCAACCCAGGTTACTCTGATGCCCACTAAAGTTTGAGAATCACTGCATTACAGGACACAGAGCTACAGGAACAACAGATGGGTCCTATATGTCATTATAAACAAAGAGTACTGACTTCTATTCTAAGCTACTGGTGGGAGGGGGAAGGAAGTTCTTTGAAAAGGCTAGCAGGTGGGGTTAAAACTAGCAACTGAGAAGCTTGTGGGCTTTCTTTTATTTCTAAGGAAACTGTGAAAAAGAATATCCTTCTGGTCAGGAAATCCAGGTCAGGAGGAATGACTTATCTGACTGTTCAAACTGCCTCCCCCCACAGACAGCATCATGATAGGAATCACACTCTCTGGAACCCAAACCACCAAATGGTCCTTCCTGCCTCCTTACCAGCCCTGTAGTAAGAATTTTTCCCATCATGATGGGCACACGGTGAGACTCACTCTCTTCTTTCTTACCATTTTCTTCCACTTCATCCTGCGGTTCTGATACCAAGTCTTCACCTGCAGTTGAGTGAGTCCCAGAGACTGGGCCAAGTCCAACCTAGAAGGCATGAGATACAGAGGAAGGATGAGGAAGGAGGGAAAGGGCAGTAGAGATGGGGTCCTTTGACCAACTCTGGCACTGCTATCAATGCGTGAACGTCCCCCATTAAACCAGTTCTTCCCCCCAAAACTATACTTTCCAAGAATCTCATGGATAAAACTCTGGAACCTAGAAAACAGTTGCCCACACCCACAGATACCTAGGGCAATCGTCCTGGAAACATTCACTGTCTACACTGGACCCAAAGAGGATTTCTCAGCCTTGACTGCAAAGTCCTCTTTCTGACCTGACAGAGTCTTTACTGGGATCCTACACAAAATAAGGGCTCTGACCCCCAAATCCATACTGGAAAGGAAAAGTTAAGACCTATCATCCTTGTCAAAATCCTGCTCATCATCCCAGATCTGGCTCAAGCCACTCTCCCCCACCCCCCGCCAACCAGGTGAGCCTCCCCACACCCATGACACCTCCCATGGATTATCTGCTCTGTACCTTCCCAACTGTCAGCCCTCACCGAGGTGGCTCCACATTCTCAAGTGTTCTTTAACTGTTTCACATGAATAATTTGTGCCTCCCTGACTCAACTGCAAGGGCAGAGTCCACAAATGTGCCTATCACATTCTAAAGCCAGACCAAGGACTCAAAAATACCTTCTGATGTATTGATTCATTCCTGCTCAAAAATACCTTCTGATGGATTAATTCATTCCTTGTAGCTGCCCTAAACTGTTATAATGGTAGACTCCAAATGAAATTAAATCAGTAGCCCCTCCTGTTTCCCATTCTGCTTTTAACCACGGTTCTGCATTTCTCTGTAGCCTTCTGAAAAGTCCTGAATGTCAAAGCCATTCCTGGGAGGTGTGAGGTTGGAGCTACTTCTGACAACAGAGCAACTATTTCTTGAGTACCCAGGTCCCCGTGCTAAGCCCCTGACATATGCTGTCTTATTTCTTTCATTCACAGTGCTGTGAAGTAGGTATAATTATTCCCCATCTTATGGATGAGAGATTTGAAGCTTGGAGAGACTAGAATCTCTTGTTAACCATGGCTAAATCCTGTCTGCTACCTGCTTTTGTAAATAAAGTTTTGTTACGTACTGTCCGTGGCGGCTTTCATGCTACGGCCTGAGAGTTGAATGGTGGAGACAAAGACTATATGGCCCACAAAACCGAAAATATTTTCTCGCTGACCCTGTACAAGAAAAACTTTGCTGACCCTTGGTAGATGATCCTAGAGTGAGAAGTGGAGCCAGAATTCAAACTTGCTTACGTCTTACGTCTGTCTTCTAGTCCTCCTCCTGTGTAGGGGCTCCCCTCCACCCACCATATTTTTGTACAAGTTAGATCTGTCAAAGGGAAGTCCTCGCTCAAGCTTTTGTAGAGAAGAATGCAGGGGTGGGTGCCACATCAAAAGGTGTAGCAAACAACCCAATTGGAGCATATTAAATGTGAAAAAGAACCAGGCTTCCAAACCCAGTCCTCAAGATTACAACTACTTTGTTGATCTACTTTGTTAAGAACCCCAGGTCTACCTGAGCATCAACTGGTTGGACCACCTCCTTGAGCCAACCCTAGCTGTCTCCCTGTGGCTCCAACCTGGGTCACTGCAGAAGTATGGACAGCTAGAGCACTAATTTGGGATGAGCACCCTTGATATAATGAGCAGGGGTCACCACTTTCAAGGGTCCCAGGATCCTGAGGATTACAATTCTGAGGTTTCTAAGGATCATAATTTGTGGATCTAAGGTCCCTTATCTCACACAAACCTTCAGAGCCAAGAACCTGAGCCTCAGGGACTCCCGGGTGTGAGTTCTCAGCTCCAACTATCTTCCCCGTGAGAGTGACGAGCAACATATCACCATCAGGAAGGCCAATGGGTATCGGCAATGAAGGTTCCAGGTGCTAATTCCTGGTACTGCCGGGTGCACTGCCCAGCCCCCCTGCTCTGACTAGAGTGCACAATTTAAACCTCCAATACTAAACACAGTCTTTCTCCGAGGAACTTCAGAACCTGTCTTAAATCTGCATTCATGTATGTCTGGCCGTCCCAGGAAAAGGGCTCCTGGAAGCTAACAGTTTTATTGAAAGTGATTAACAGACTGAAGCTAATAAAGCCCCGGTGCCAACAGCACTTAGGTCTCCCCCGCTAACGGAGAGCTGTTTCCCAGGCAGTCATTCATGAAGAACCAAGGACCCAGGGGGCCATGCCACAGGCTTCTGGTCTCCCAGGCTCCCACCGCGCCTTCCAGCCCGGTTCACCTGAGGCCATCAGGTGCATTAGTCAATGGAAGGCTCAGTTCGCAGCTCTGTGCGTTGTGTTAGCACATGGCGTTAGCTCACTTGGGAAAAATGCACCCCTGACTCACTCTGGCTACAGAAACAGCTTCACTGTCATCAGCTTTCTCTCATTACCTGCCACCGTTACAAATTCTCACTTCCCTGCATATTCGCTTAAATGGGGTCACCTAGGAAACTGGAGAAACAAACAAAGGGGAAGAGGGAGAAAGCTGTGGGAGGAGGGAGTGCTCATGGCCCTGGTCACGTACATAGGGAGGTGAGGAACACGGGAGAGGGCGGGTTAAGGCGGCAGCTTCCATGCCAACCAGATGGTGTCCTTCTCCCCAGGCAAGTGAATCAATCCTACGTAGGTCACCTGAGAGGTGCCTGGGCAGGTATCCGGAAGTCCCAGGAGCTTTGTTAGGAACTAACATTTCTGTTAACGAATCCTCTGGCTTCTAGAACATAAGCCTAAAGTTTTACCCTGTTGAAGCCCTTCTGGTAAACCGCTACACAAGTGGTAAATAATGCGCCCACCTCACCTGGTTGCCCACATCCCCGAGGCTCTCCATCACATGCCGGGGGTACCGAAATTGCTGCTGATGCCTAGAGATCCCTTCTGTTAATCCCCCGTTCACAGCCACGTCTCCACTGTCCACCCAAAGGCTCCTCAGATGCTCAAGTTCAAACAGAACTCACTCTTTCCCCACCAAACCCAGTCTGTCCTCTGCCTTGCACACCTGCAGTTACGGTGGCCCGATCCTGGAAGCGCAGAATTCCCACTCTCTCCTCTCTTCTTCATGCCAGTGTCAGTTCTGTCCATTCCACCTTCAAAACTGTTCTCCAATCTCTTCTCCCCTCTGTGTTCCCACTGTCACCACCTTAACTCAGGTGTTCAGTTACTATCCCTGGACTCCCATTCTCCTGCTCCATCGCTTCCCTCTCAAATCAATCACTTACGGTGCCACCAAAGTGAGGAGTCTAAAATGTCATTTGCAGTGCTTGGTGGCTGCTGATGGACAGCCTAGACAAAGTCTGCATTCTTGGGCCAGGCCCACGAGCCTTCCCATCCCCATGGCCTCATCTCTGGCCACGCCCACACATGCACCTTCATCTGGAGATGTCCCTACCACTTGCATTTCCCTCAACAGGGAGACGTGCCTCTCTGCCTCTGAGCGCCATTCCCTCTGGAATCAAAGCTCTTCGTAAATGCTGCCTCCTCTGAGAAACCTTCCCGGTCCCCACCCGACACACTCAGCAATATCTCTGTGCTCCTCCAGCCCTTGGTAACACACCGGCACCAGTACCCACGCACTGTGTTGTAGTCATTTGTCATTTCCTTCCCCTCGATCCGGACTTTCTAGACTCCTAACCCCTGCCACAGTGCCCGGCATACGGCAAACCCCTGACGGGTGCCCGATTAATTGAATGTGTGCCCTTTGGTCAGTGGTTTATAGACTCCTCTCTCACTTAAATTTGTATCAAACAGCTGCCAATAGCTTAAGAGATGCATTGGGGTTTCCTTCCCTTTCTCTTTGCTAGGACTAAGGGCCAAACCTAGCACGGACCAGGAAGTGAGCAGAAAGGGCCTGGAAAATCCTCCCCCAAAATAGATCGCTCATTAGCTCAGCCACTTCCACATCTCCAGAGTGAGTTTGAAGAAACAAGACAAGACATACATTCTTGCACAGTCTGCAGTTTAGATACTAAATTAAAGAAATAAGGTGAGAATCTGAGTAAAGCAGGGGTCATAGCTCAATGATCTGGATCTCAAAAGGGTTTAAAGAAGGGCCTCCCATCCAAGTCCTCCTCCTCTCAGCCACGTGGTTCTGACTTAGTATCTCTCACATGTATCAGGACATCTAACAGCTCCTCAACCGAATTAATCCAGGCCTTTCCATGCAAGAGCCAGGCCAGCACACTGAGCCAGCTGGGAGTCGCGGCGTAGGGAGAAGCCCCAGAAGGTCCCGGGTCCCAATTCCACATCTAGCCCCACTGCACCTGAGCCTGCATGTAAAGTGGCTTTTCAAAACCAAACCCGTTTTCCAGCTCAGAACCTGGGCAACCATTTCCTAAACATGACCTTGCTTATTATACTTGAGCAGTTAAGCTAAATACAGCAAGGAGCATAAATTCAGCAACACACAGGCTTCCGGGGCTTAAGTGTGAGGAGTGCACGTGGGCTGGGTTCTGTTGAACGAGCGGGAACTACAGAAGCCAAGGACGAGACTCCTGCCGTGGTGTGGAACCTCTCTAAAACAGTCTTTGTGGCCATCCATCCCCCACACACAGCCAAAGGGGTCTTCTTCCCTGCGGACAGTCCTCTCCCTGGTTTCTCACCTGTCTGGGGTGGACAAGTACTTCTGCTTCTGGAATTTCTTCTCCAGGCCCATGAGCTGCAGCTCAGTGAAGATAGTGCGACTCCGACGGGGCTTCTTCTGCCGGGGCGTGGGCTGCTCCGTCTCTGACTCGCTGCTGCCTAGAGCCTCGCCCCCCGGGACCTCAGCAGAGGTGGCCTCAGAGGCCGGGTGGCAGGACAATGCCTGGGCAGCTCCTGGGGTGGCAGGGACCAGGTGGGAGATGACCGCGGGCTGTCGGGTGATCACTGAGAGGAGAGGGTATGCCCGGAGGGAAGCAGGGCCTGGAAGACAAACAGGGAAGCAGGTCACAAGAGGAGCCAGCGGGGGAAGTAAGCCAGAGGCCCCCGGAGGACCACTTGCAGAGACCTGACTGGTGGGGCCTCTGGATCACGAGGAGGTATAATGGAAGAAGGGGAAGCAGCAGCAACTCATGACCTAGAACTGCTGGGTGGGTGGGTGAGCTGTGCTCAGCCTGAGGTATGAGAGGTCCCCACGGCCAGGAAGAGGGTCCTGCAATTCCTCTGGTGTTAAGTGGACGTTTCCCCTCTCTCTTTTTCCTTTTTAAAATTTATTTATTTATTTTAAGGGGGAGGAGAGGGACAGAGAGGAAGAGAGAGAGGGAGAGAACCCCAAGCAGGCTCTGCACTGTCAGCACAGTGCCCGACACAGGACTTGATCCCATGAACTGTGAGATTGTGACCTGAGCCCAAATCTAGAGTCAGATATGTAACTGACCAAGCCACCCAGGAGCACCCGCCATCTTTTTTAAACCTCTGAATTCTGGTTTCAGAACTATGGGTCAATAATCTGAGCAGATGAAAAGTAGTTGTCAGAAAAAGCTAGAAACACACACTTGAGAATACAAATAGGTTTGTAATATACAAACTGCCTGAGAATCACCTCTGGTCTTTGTAAAAATACATAGTTGAAACTGTGCATTCCTCCTGAGAGGTCTTTAGACCTTGAATCATAACATTTTTCAGAGCTGGAAGGATGCTTAACAATTATTTCATCCAGGGGCTCCTGGGTGGCTCAGTCGGCTCAACGTCAACTCTTGGTTTTCGGCTCAGGTCATGATCTCACAGTTTCGTGGGTCTGAGTCCCGCTTAGGGCTCTGTGTGTTGCCACTGCAGAGCCTGTTTGGGATTCTCTCTCTCTCCTCTCTCTCTCTGCCCCTCCCCCACTGTCTCTCTCAAAATAAAGAAATAAACTTTAAAAAGAAAACGAGTATTTCATTCAACTTCTTCATTTCAGAGACAAGGCTGAGTGAAAGGCTAAGTGACGTGCCTAACATCACAGAGATTAGAGCTTTGAGCAAGAAGGCCCAGGAGTCAAACCAAGTTCTTCTGGCTTGAAGTCCACGCTTATCACATCATGAACCACATGCATACATCATTTAGGGAAGGGGGACAAACAGAAAGATTTTAATTCACATGGAAACTCGGATCCATTACGGCCGGCTGCCTACAGCACTGTGCTGAGGACGACTGCCAGGCTGGGTCAGAGCTTGGCTGAGAAAAGAGAGCTGACGTTGAGTGATGACGTCTGCTGAAATGCCGTGGGCATCTGCGGGGGCGTAAGGTGGTATATATGCTAGCCATGTGCCACTCCTGCCTTAGGAATTTCAAGGCAGAAGTACTTTTCTGTCCAAGAATCTTACGTCTTTAAAGTTCAAGTAAAAGAGCTCTTCCTTTTCATTATTCACTAGGATTATGTTTCAAATGTCATGATCATTACCTATATGTCATTTTATCTTTCTGGGCCTCAGTCTTGCCATCCACATAGTGAGTAAAAGTAGATAATTTCAAAGAATTCTTCAAATTCTAACTTACTGATGCCAGTAAAATACCTCTCATCCCAAGCCCATTTTGATATCTGATGAATACAGAGGAGACATAGGGACTGCCCTTGGGGACTCGGCCTGGCCCTGACAACTCATTACGAAGGCAAAGGCAGGCATGTGAGCCAGGCAACATTCATGCTAGTTCTGGGTTAAAACGAACCAATTTCAAAGAAACATTCAGGGGCTGCTTGTGTTCTGTCTCCCTCCTCTGGGTTGGCTTTTCTCTTCTTATTCATTCCCATGCTTCTGTTTTGGACTCCAGTCACAGTTATTAAAGCAGATAACTTCTCTTGTTCTTCTAGAAAGGCCCAGTACAAACCACAAAGTTGTTAAATAATAAATCACCAACGGCTATGACTTCCATGAACTCTCCAGCCAATGCTAACACTTGAGGTTTTGTGTTGTGGATTCTTTTTGAGGAAAAAAAAAAAACATCTGGGAATGAATTATAGCAAGAAAATAAGGACACCTGGGCCTCTGGTTTTGGATCTCCCAGTATACATTACGAAATGTCACTTCTTGAAAAAAAATTATCTGAAAGCTTCTTTACTGGCATGAGGTATTTCTCATCTCAAATCACTTTATTCCTTTAATTTGGACATTTCTTTTAAAAGGAACAGTCTTTATTAAACAGGCTAACTTATATTCTAGATACTCTGGAGCTTACCAGCATGGCAACTGCCTAGTTACCTACCTGTCAGTAATGCTTTTATCACCTGAGTTTCCGCTTTCTCTGGTGAAGAGAGTTAAACTTTTTTCCTTAACATTAAAAAATATTTTGGAAGTGTGGTAATATCTAGTGTTGGCAAGGATATGGGGAAATGGGCACTCATATATTGTTGGTGATATACCAGTATAGTCTTTTAGAAGGACAAACTGGGGTGCCTGGGTGGCTCAGTTGGTTAAGTGTCTGACTCTTGATTTCGGCTCAGGTCATGATCCCAGGGTTATAGAATCGAGTCCTATGTCGGGCTCCACAATGGGCATGGAACCTGCCTAAGATTCTCTCCCTCTCTCCCTCTTTCCCTCTCCCCTGCTCTCTCTCTCTAAAAAAAATTTTTAATAAAAGGACAAACTAAGCAGTGCCTCTCAAGTTACTGACCAGGCAATTCTATAATGAGGCCAATTTGCCCATAAGCACAAAGATTTATGTACAAGCGTATTCACTGCAGCCTTGTTTATAATAGTGAAAAAAGGAAACAACTCACGTATCAACAGGAAAATGATTAGCGGTACATCTACAGTATGGACTATGATGTAACCACTAAACAGAGCTATATAAACAAATAGACAGATAGATACATTGATTGATAGGTTACATGGAAAGATGGATAAAGTGAAAAAATTCTGAAATATATTATTGAGAGAAAATAAAGGTATGGAACAATCTGCATTCTATTAAAAAATCCAGATGTGTATCTGTATTTAAAAATGCATTTTTTTAAGCCTAAGAAGTTAGTCGTCAAGTTATTAACAGTAATTACCTCTACAGAAGGAGTGGGAGTGGAACATAGCGCACAGTGGTCTCTACGTATTAATCTAATCCTGGATTCAATCCTGCCATAAATGGTTACTGAGCAACTACTATGGGCTGTACTCTGTTCTAGAGGTTGGGGATAGCAGTGAATTACATAAAGTCCCACCTTTAGGAAGCTTACATTTCAGTCAGGGAGGTAGACAGAAAACAAATAAATATATAATGCTAAAGGAACACCTGGGTGGCATTAGTCTCTTGGTTTCAGCTCAGGTCATGATCTCACAGTTCATGGGTTTGAGCCCCACATCGGGCTCTGTGCTGATGGTGCAAAGCCTGCTTGGGATCCTCTCCCTTTGTCTCTGCCCCTCCCCTGCTCTCTCTGTCTCTCTCAAATTAAATAAGTAAAAAAAAATTTTTAATTAAAAAAAATATATATCCACTATATATATATACATACATACATACATACAGATATGCATACATATAATGCTAAGTAGTGATAAATTCTGTGAAGAAAAACACAGCAGATTATGAAGATGGGGCAGGTGAGGAGGAGGCAGATACATCCGAGAGGGGAGGCAAGGCAAGGAAGAGGTGACAGTTTTGGCAGACAGGTGAGTCAGGGGAGAGGAGAATCTTGAGAAGAGCACCGGGGCACAGAACCAGCTTGAGCAAAGCCCTAAAGTGGGAATGGTCTGTGTTCAAAGTCAAGCAAAAAAGGCAGAGTGAGTAAAGGGGGGGGGGGGGAGTCACAGGAGATAAAAATTTGGAGAAATATGCTGCAGTCAGATCACATAAGGTCTTCAAGCCCAGGCCAAACAGTTAGGATTTTCTTCAGAATGAGATAAAAATATTGGTGAGATCCGAGCTGGAGAAGGACATGATGTGATCTGTGTCCTGAAGATCCCTATGGCTGCCATGTCGGGGACTGAATGTAGGGGTGGAGGGGAAGCAAAGGAGTAAGCCAGGAGGCCAGGCCACATTCCAGACCAGAGACCACAGTGGCATGGGCCAGAGAGGTAGCAGCTGTGGTTGTGAGAGGTGGTCAATTCCGCGTGTGCCTTACAGTTAGGGGCAGAAGAGCCTGTGGAAGGGCGGATGTCATGTCTGAGCTACAGAGAGTTGCCATGACACATCTGGGTGTCTGGCCTTAGCACCCAGAGGAACAATGGTGCCATTTACTAAGAAAGGAAAGACTGGGTGAGGAGTAGAATTAGGTGGGGAAATGAAGATTTCAGTTTCAGACAAGATGCCGTTATACATGGTAGATGTGCTGAAAAGGCAACTACATACACCAGTCGCGAGTTCAGAGAAGAGGTTAGGTTGGAGAATACAACCCTGACTCATGGCAGTATATGTGGCACTTAGAACCACAGGATTAAATGCCATCACCGAGAGAGTGAGTGGAATAAAGAAGTAAAGAGACCCAAGGATTGAGCCCTGGGGTATGCCAACATCTGAGGTCATAAAAAGGATGAGAAGCCTGCCAAAGGAGCAAGGAAAGGAAACAGAAAGAGGAAACCACTGACCCCATAGTTGAAAATCTGTGTACAATATTATGACTCCCCCCAAATGTAATAGCCTACCGTTGATCAGAAGCCTTACTGATAAACAGCTGATTAATACATATCTTGTACATTACATTATACACGCACGCACGTGCGTGCGCGCGCGCGCACACACACACACACACACACCCATACTTATAATAAAGTAAACTAGGGAAACACGTTAAGAAAATAATAAGAAAAAGAAGATACATTTACCATACTGTACTGCATTTGTTGAAAAAAATCTGCATAGAAGTGTACCCATGCGGTTCAAACCTATACTATTCAAGGGTCAACTGTATTTACATTCTACTATAAGCATGTATTACTTCTGTAATTTAAAAACAAAACTTTCAGTTTTGTTCTCATTGGAAAGTTTTAATATATGTTCAATTTGTCAAAAAAAGAATT